TGGGAGAAACTCCATCTGATATCTCGCCGATTGGGAATTATCAGGATATGACTAATCACGACAGTCTATACATGTGAGTTATATTGGAGTCTCCCAACCAGCTTCACGCGAAGTGGCGTAAAATTCGGTGAAAAACGCGATATTCGCGGTGATATGCAGTAGTCGCGAAATATGTTTTCCTCTTCACTAGGGTGAAACTCCATTATTATAGTGCCTGGAAATTTGATATGTAAATGTGCGTTATTTTTTGAGATTGATGAGAATCCATCTGATACTATATCGCATATACAATGGAGCTTCACCCTAGTGATATGAAAACATACTTCACAAACCACTGTATATCGCGAACATCGCGTTTTCCACTGAGTATTGAGCTACTTCACGTAAAACGAGTGAAACTCCAACGCAACAGTGGCTATGAACATTTGTTGTGATGGCGACAACTTGTTCACTATAATTTGTCTCCAAAATAACACACATTTGCATATCCAATGATACCAACTCTATGTGCGATTTGAACTTGGGAGTTCTGCGTGTGTTAGATTCCATTTGAATGATGATCAGTGGTGGTGTAAAGAATGGACGACGACAGCCGATAGTGAAATGGAATAATATTATCTTGGCCACATCGAATATTATTATTATTTGGAATTTTCATGTATTGATGTCCCCTCGAGGATAATCAAAGCATCTTTATTTGCTTATTTTTCTCGGTCTTTGTCGACTAAAGAGATTTTGTGGATCGTTGGGTGGCGTTGTAGTTGGAATTTCATCTCTGGGGGTATCGCGTTGGAGATAGTTGTTTTAGTCAGGGAGGATAATATTAGTAGTGTATTGAGGAAATCAGTATTATGGACAGAACCTGATGAGGTTGCAATGAGCGGTGAAGGAGTGCCAGATCCCTTACTTGTAACTGCGGGATCTCCAGATGACTCATTGGTTCCTTGTTGAGACTATTATGGGACTTCCTATCTCACATCATCCCCAGGTCGCAGTCGCATACCTGGTTGATCGCATGAAATTTTCCGTGACAAAATTTCCTTTCCGCGGAATCTTGACGCTTGCCCGCCCGAAGGACAGACCCTGCCTCGATAGGAGATCGATCGATGGAGGGAAGGGCCGTTCGATCGAGATGTTCAAGATGTTTCACTTCGGTACTGTTAGGAGAGGGAGATGATGTGCCGGGAAATTCTTGGACTGGAGTGTAGTCGTAAGGAGCCTTGCCGACCTTAGCAATAAAACTTGTAGGAGGCATAATGTTAAGAGGAAGCTCGATCTTCTTGGTAAGAAGTTCTTGCCAAATCTGTGCCGAAGGTTCTCCCGGTAGGACGCTAGATCATTAGCCTCGTTCTTTTGCTCCTGCCTGCGACGTTTGGCTGTACGCCAGGCCCTGGCCGCTTCAATCAGTGAGACTAGATGTAGTTTGAAGAATTGTTGTTGTTCAGCTGGGATGCGACCAGTCATACGTGTAATAGTTTCTTCACCGACATTGGCCAGCAGCATGATAGAATATATCTTTCCCTCAATCAGCTGGGTAACGGTTACCCGGTAACCATGAGATCTTTGATCCCCTGGTCAATGTTCTCACCATCTAGCAGACGATCTAATATATTCTTGGTAGTAGTCTCCGGCTGATCAGCCATAAGAAAAAAATGATGGAAACAAACCGTCCCTAGAGCCAATGCATGGATGAAGTGTAGTATACAAAAGCACGAAGGCTTCACATCTTAGATTCTAGCTTGATGTACTCAGTCGTGACGTACTCACTTTTGTTCATAGCGTCACACAGGCCAGGGGGACCGGATGATTGTGCCAGAGGAGTGCTTCGCACTCCCCGTAATCGTGGGGCTCCACTGAGACGCATTTCACGTCTGCTAATGGATTAACTCCGGTTGGCCTGTTGGCTGTTCGGTGTTTCGCCGCTATGAACTCAACCCATCTCCGTCAAGGTCTTAGTTGATTGGATAAGAAGACTGGTCTAAGGCCACTGGCCTTAGCTAGGCCCGCTCGGGCCTGTAGCGACACGGTTTCCTCCCCTGCAGGCTCTTCATTACAAGCTATCGACGACGGACTCGCATGCAACCCAACAGAGCTTTCCCTACTAGGACTCGTATCCATATTGGAGTTATAGTGACGGGCTAGACCAAAGATTGTGATACAAATAAAACCCCTGTACCCGTAAGATACTCGAAATGTATCGAGCTCCAAAAATACGGACTTCACAATTAACATCACAGATCAGAATTGAATATCGGACGCGTCACTAACATACCTTGTAGTTTCGTGAGTTCTTTACTATCTCCCAATGAGTTTGATGATGAGTATACGAAAGAGAAAAGTAGTTATGATCAATCACAAATCCTCGTCCGAATGAGTGACAACTATAGCAGAGCTGTCAGGCCTCAAGGAATCATTCTCACAGGGCCGCCCGAGCAGAATACGCGTGCTTATTGTCGTTGCACGCAAATACATTGAGTACGAGAATAGGGAAAGCAGATTGGCAAACCAGATCCCCATGAGTGATCATCCATACTAGTCTGCTAGTCTTGGATTCAAGGAAAGCTTCCTCCAGTGAGAGAGCTAGCTCAAGTTGTAGTGCGCGTAGGTGAAAGTCAGGTCGCCAGGGATATCTGAGGACAGAGACGTCTACGGTATCTAATCGATGGTAGAAACTTAAGAACTAACTCTCTGCTCCGTAACATATTCCCTCGTAAGTACTGTACGCTCTCGCCGAACGGGGGACTTACCTATAATCTTGATGAACTTCGTATTTTCGTAGAGACGAATAGCATGGTTGTTCGTTCGATCCACAAATAAGTAGACAGCGTCCCACTTCGGATAGTCTCCAGGAAGCTGAAAGGCAAATGAGCAATGGCTTGAGCTGCTATCTGATCAATGGCCTCATTTGAAACTCATTTGGGAGCAAGTCTTGCTAGCCTCACATCTCTGAACACCTGCGGCAAGAGTTTCGACCCGATTCCTTTGTTTCTCCAGGTTTCCGCCACGTATACCTGAAGACCCGGATGAATTACGGTCCGCCCGATAATGTTTTCCAGCTCACATTGTGGATATAACCAATGATTCCATCCGGTTTCTTCTTGCTCTGTGGTGGCCTGTAAGAGAAATGTTCGAAGGATCAAATTCATACCACCAGACCCCCTCAACGGTGAAGCTCTCCCAGGCGAAGACGACTCACCTTTTGGCATCGATTGCAGCCTCGACATCAGGGGGTGTGTTCTCCGAAGGGATCAGCATCCCTACCGCACCAATAACTTTCTGAGAAAAATATAGAGCCATCCCAATACAGCAGCGAGCTATTGATAGCCAATTAGTCTGTCATCAGCGCTGGCGGCACAGTGTGCCGGGCACACCGAAGTCGGTTGTTGAGTGGTGAAATTCATCAGTGTTGGTTCAAAATCACTGACTAGGTCATTCCGAACAGAATTCTTGTCTAATCAGAACGAGCAGAAAATGTCACAGCAATACAGGTGTTGCTTGGAAGAAGCTCGTGTGAGCTAATTACAGTACACGGCTCCCCCTCTCTAAAAATCGATTGAGGACCCGAGAATTGCCTGAGGCAATTTGCCTCACTCGATCGCCAATGGTTGCTGCGACCCAACAGCGGAAGAATGCACAGGCGAAGTCTGGTCCCATGAGGGACATGTCATCTCCTTTCTGGTATTTGCGATAAACCACATCGTTGAGTAAGCGCGAGCCATATCGCCTCGGTAGTGGTTCCGTTAAGAAGTATCCAGTAACCAGGCTAGGCAGCAAAGAGAGTAGGACCATCATTTCTAAATAGATATTATTCTAAGGATAAAAAACCTCTATCGGATAGAGTCTATCCTTCGAAGCCGCATCCCTTTGTTGAAGTCCCATAATTGATGACTTCTGTCAGAAGTTCATGATCTCCCTAGACTGAGCTAGATTATTCGTTCTATCGCACGCAAGCACGAAACACTCGGGACAGTCTGCTCCAAGGATAAGGCTCGGACGGTGGGCTTTACCCCGGGCTTAACTCGCGGAAATGCGGAGAAGAAGTACATGATTACGGTTCTCTGAGATAGACAATTGCGGGCCTCGAGCTCCGTAGGGAGGAAGCTCTATAGCATTTCTCTAAGGCCCAATTTTGAGCCAAAACCTGACCGTCATATTCACGTAGCGCGTGACACGCAAAACTTCGTGAGGGTTTTCAAGCGTCATAGAATATACCGAAACGAGCTCCAATCGCAAATTATCCTACTGGAGTTCGTGATCGAGTTCATGGAATCCCTAGTGAGCACATGAAGTACGATGCAGATGGAGCTCTATCCGATAGGGGTTTTTTCATCCTTAGATAAAAATATCGATCTAGAAATGATGCTCCTAATCTCTTTGCTGTCTTGCCTGGTCACTGAAGACTTCTTGATGGGACCACTACCGAGGCGATATGGTTTGCGCTTACTCAATCATGTGGTTAATCGCAAATACCAGAAAGGGGATGACATGTCCCTCGTGGCGACCAGTGGCGCCACAGAATTAAGCTGTGAATCCTACCGCTGTTGGGTCACAGCGACCAGTGGCGATCGAGTGAGGCCATTCTCGAGTTATCAATCGAATTCTAGGGAGGGGGAGTCGTGTACTCTAGTGAACTCACACGAGCCAAATCTGTATCGCTGTGACATTCTCTGTTCGTTCGAATCGGACAAGGATTCTGTTCGGGTGGACCTAGTCAATGATTTTGAACTAACACTGACGAATCTTTCCACTCGGGCGACCGTAGCTTACTGTAGCTGCGTGTTCTCCCTTTGAGTGTGAACGTGCGTCTTTTACGACTGGGAGCAGTTGCTCTTATGTTGTAATCTCGTTTGACTAGCACTTGGTCTATACGTAGTGGCCTCACTTTTGCGATTGAGTAGCAAATGATTTGCTGCAAATCCATTATGATTGTGATGTTGGGTTCCTAAGAACTCTACGTGCTGAGGATTCCGGCTGAGCCCCTACGTCTGGTCTCACGCTTCGACAGCTTTGCACCACCTCTCTACTACTCTTTTACCTTTCTACTCCCGACGCCGAGGTCATCTCACACTTTGCTAGTACTACATGGCAACCGCGCAGCACTCTTGTTATCGAACGTGCATTGTTTGTTCAGCGAGAATGGTATGTAAGTTATGTGTTAACTTTAGTTAAGCTACTCTTAGTTGATATTCGCAATATTCGCTCGCCGCTTGGCCCGAGGAGCTACCCAACCAGATGAGATGGTACAGTTGTCAACAACAACCTTAACTCAGGTTAGAGTTGTATTAATAACCTCAAACTCAGGGCTGAATAATCCACGAATAGACGGCTATGTTCACCATTATAGATTCGTTAGTCGTGTTGGTGGAGTTGTCAAGATCATCAATCAACATAACCATATGAGAGAAGTTACGCCTTTGTCAGCTGTAGCACCGGAATCATGACCTCTAGAACTCAACGACATAAGGGATTGGTGGGAATACAAACTTGAACCAGAAACTTAGTAGTACAGAGTTCTACAGCACTATAGCGTAGGGGCGCTAGAGAGACAGGTCAATAGCATCAGCTATGTGTACTATCACAGGAGATCGCCTAAACGGGGACAACACCTCACACCTTGTTCTTGCTCAATTGATCATTGCTTCAACTGCACCTTGTGCAGTTGACTTTTACGCTGCATGGGAGGAATTGCCGTGTTCTGTACATACAGGCATACCGGGGCTCACAATGCATAGAGACAGCTGCCCTGTCCTCGTTGGAGACATACACGTTCTTACAGTAGTTCGTAGTGACAGCTGACCTGTCTTCGCTGGAAGCATATTGGGGCTCACCAAGCTACATAAAGACAGCCGCCCTGTCCTCGCTGGAGGCGTACAGAGCCTATCGAAGCTGCATAGACGCGACTGTCCTGTCCTCGCTGGAGGCATACAGAGGCTCACAAGGCTGCATAACGACAGCTGCCCTGTCCTCGTTGGAGACTACACGTTCTTACAACAGTTCATAGTGACAGCTGCCCTGTCCTCGCTTGAGGCATACAGGGACTTACAATGCTGCATAGCCGCGGCTGCCCTGTCCTCGCTTGAGGCAAACACGGACTAACAAGGCTGCACAGCCGCGGCAAGGCGAGACGAAACCAGCGAGCGGCTCGTATTGCGGCGACCATGAGACGAAGGTTACCAACGAGCCCAAACAACGCGAAGTTCACAGTAGGATGCACAAAAGCGAGCAGGCCGGGGCTATGCTGACCCAGAGCAACGTATTCATGAGCTTCGCGACAAGCGAATATAAAATTTATAAGCCCTCTCTGCCCTCGGCTATTCTACGCTGGCAGCAGGCAGGGGGTCCGCTCGCCTCACGGATTTATTACCGCAGTACGAATTTTTAGCAGAGCGACGCGACCATCCGCAACTATATTCAACTTGGGTTGATAAGTTAAGCCTTATAACTTCGTTATGTCTCGTGGGAAGTGAACGTTGACTCGCCTGGCTCGAAATTCGGGTTGCAGCGTGAGTCTGACTCCGCTTACCATCTAGCATAGCGATTTGAATTAGTTTCTATCTCGTTGAGTAGTGAAATTGGTTTCTATTCCCTCGAATTTGGTTTGCGGTTTTCCACATCGTAGGAACTCGCCTTGTCTATTCGTTGCTGAATGGAAATGTGAGTCACCGGTATATAAGGTGGGATGTAACACATCATCATTACCCTGACTCAGGGTCCCTGAGTATGGCTTATGAGCTACTGAGCAGCTGCTGCTCCTCACAGAAGTTCATGGAATGGCGTATGAACTCCTAGGAGGTGAGCCTCCAGAAAGAATGACGATTGGAGAGCAACATATTAGAGCCATAATGAAGGACCCTGCAATCTGTCGTGAATTAAAAATCACTGAAGGAACAGCTCTAGATGTTCCAGTTTGGCGAGAGACAACGGAAGGAAAAATGTTGGCAAGTAAGAAGCTGATAGAGTCCCGAACGCCCCGCTTTGTGATGGAATTATTGAGCGCATTAATACCCTGGTTATGTGCGTTACCCACCATAGTAGAAGACTCAAGAGACTTACTAGCAGGACTCAATTACGTGAGCAGGCTAATAAGCTAGCTGATACCACTGACGACCGTGCCTTCATAATATGAAGGATATGAAGTTCATATCATACGACATAGAGGTGAGGATAAACCTGGTTAATCGAACGCGCTCTGTCGCGACTCGCGAGAGAGCAGAAAGTGGCATATCACAGAGCCATCGTCATTTGCCTCAGTGAAATTCCGGACTCTGAGGCCTACGCCAGAGTCGTCGCGGAGAGGAGTTCTGAATCGATACCGAGGGAAACGAATCGGGCACCACGGGATTCTGTCCGTACTATTATGAGGACTGTCCGGTTCCAGCTAGAAGAGAGTGTGAGTTCAAACCCCATCACCACAAGAATCATTTTGATGGGAAAGGCAAAGGCTTGCCCGGAATTGGGAGCAAAGATTAAGGGTTCGGAAAGGGTAAAGGTTTCTCGGAAGGGTACTATGGACAGAACTCCAATTTGGGTGGGTTTGGAAAAAAGGACCATCATGTCGCGGGGTGAATCACCTATAGGAATCAAGCGTGAAAATATTGAAAGTGATCTGGGTTACTTGAAACCTTGTTATTATTAACGGAGGAAGATGACGAGGCGTTGGCGGTCTAACGATGGGAGATATTTGTTTCTGAAAGAGTGATGGCTTTTTTTAATACAGTAAAATTCTCGCACCGTTTCGCCCTGCATAGTAAACACAACAGCTACTTAGTTTAGAACAGGGCAGAGTTTTCAGTCACTCAGTTGAGTGGTGTCCTTCTACGAGGGAGTTGGGTGAGACCGCGCCTGTCAGTGCATTAGCATCTGAAGGAAACGAGCTGGTGGCTTTGGTAGCTCGACTACAACGCCTCTTTGGGCTAGCCGCTACCAGCCTCCCCCGTAGGAAGGTTAAAAAAATGGTGGAAACAAACCGTGCCTACACCAATACATTAATAAAGTGTAGTAGACAAAGACAGAAAGACTTTACATCTTAGATTCTAGCTTGATGTACTCAATCGTGACGTACTCAGCCTTGTTTATAGCGTCACACAGACCAGGGGGACAGGATAGTTGTGTCAGAGGAGTGCTTCGCACTCTCCATGATTGTGGGGCTCCACTGAGACGCATTTTACGTCTGTTAATGGATTAACTCCGGCTATGCGGTGTTGTGTGATGCTATCGTCACACACGTATTGTTCGGAACCGAAGGCTAAGGGAAACTTTTGTGGGGAAAGCTGAGGAAAGGAAACGGATCCTTTGGGAGGTTATCATGGGCAAAACCTCTCTTTTGCCGGTTCTTAAAGAGCCCAAACATGCCGCGGGGCGATTTGGCCATATGAATGAAGATTATATGGAAGGATGAAAATTGGCGCCTCGAGCGCAGAAACGCATCCAGCTTTGAGAAATAATGTTCCCCGGGGTTTTATAGTGATGGGGGAATGTTCCTAATGGGGCGAAATTAACATGGGAAACTGATTGAAGAATGTATTCCTAGTCATGTGACAAATACAAAATGAGTTCTCCGCGGGAACATTATAGGTTCCTGGATGATTCCCTGCTCAAGCAAGGATATTGTGTCCTTTTCCCATCAAAGCATACCTTTCTGGAAGAATGATGCGACTTGTATGAGACTACGGATATTGCGGAGATCTATCGTCATTGATAATTCGACGAGTTTGATTCGTCAATGTGAGGGTCCAGTTGAGGTTTGTAGACTCAGGCTGAGTCTATAGTACTATAGGATACCCTATAGGACCTATAGAGTATGAAATACCGATGATAGTCAGGAAGAGAGTCTGTTCAACAGACTATACAGATATAGAATCATCAGAATTGAAGAGATAATTCTGAAGTTTCGAGGATGATTGAGAGAATTGAATGCTATAAGGTGCCAGAGAGTGAGATCAACGTGGTTCTAAGCTATGGGAGCCCAATGACCAGCGCCGAAGTCCACTTCAGATTGGACTGTGGAGCGCAAAAGAAGATACTCGAAATATCATATTTCCCTACCCAGATTGGATTAGAAAAGGATGGTACCGATTCGGAATTGAAGCGAGAATTCGTCGAAGAGCGCACTCCGCCAGTTCAATAAGCTGAGTTCATTCATAGGAAGCTTTGTATGGGTCTGAGAAGCATACGCACTGCTGCAGTGCATATATCTGGCAATGAATATTCTTCTCCAGTGGAGAATCTCCACACCGTGCATTATGGATTATCATGTAAGTAGTAGCACTCATGGGATCTGCGTACTAAACGATTAGTGCTGGTCCAGTACGCCCGGAGCATACCGCCATTCAATGGATTGCTTGATGGATTGAATCCATCAGTGGACCTAAAAACAGTGGAATTCGATGTCGAGCATGATTGAGTAAAAGGTCTCGGTGTTTACATTTCTTATAGGAGAGAGAATTTGAGGTTACGAAAGTTTGTAGTACAAAATTTGTACTACAAATACACGGTGGGGTCAAAGAAGTCTTACCCACACGAGACTCTCGTGAGTCACGAATCGAGAGACTCTGCTCCCAGGGTTAGGATTCTGTACATAGGATATGATAGAGAAGAGGGACCTCTGGTTCATAGTATTCACGGAGAGCTTTCGCACGGATCGGAGTAGATTCTTAAGGGTGCTTGACTTCAAGTTCGAATGTCTTGTCTGCGTGGTCGATAAAGGGAGACACAAGGCCGCTAAGTGCCTTGTGTGGGCGGACGCCTCTACGCGCGACCTCGGAGCAATGTTTGTGGAGACCACAATGTGGATTAATTGAGGACGAGGTTGGTTTTGTAGAGAACTGACCAAGAATCTGGCTAGGCTGAAGAAACATTCATACTGACGGACTTACGTACTCATGTGTTAACATGAGACTACGGTGTTTTGTATGGCCTATGACTATCAGTTTTAACCGGAGTCATATTGGCTTGATGTAGAGGTTCTAGCAGTGAAGGTATCCGGGTCTCTCGCTCTCGGTACGTGATGTGAAAGCGATTTCGTGAAAATAGCGAATCTAGTGGCGACCATCACTCAACTGCTATCAAACGGACTGAGGGCCAACGATAGCGTCAAAGGTTAGATTATGTGGGTGGTGACTCCAATCTCAAATTGGCAATTTGGGAATGGACGTGTATCGCGTAATATAGAGTATCGATCTGACTATTTGTTTCAGAAATTATCATCGGGTACAGTGACTGCGCGTGGAACCCATCGGTGGGTCTACCAATGAGCAGTTGGGGAGGCGCAATATGCTTTATTATGAGACTTGCGAGACCTCGATAAGTGGTGAAAGTCAGCAGACATCCGGGAATTACTGAGGTTCGATGGTCCTCTGAGTCAGCTGAATAACGAAACCCCATCTGACTAAGATGATCCAAGTATTTTTTGAGATCCGAATTTTCAGTCTGATTTGAGGTGGTACCCCATTGGTGAAGCAAAGCTAACAGGGACCGAGCATTAGCACATCAGATTCCCGCCGCACGATAGTCCGGTGATGGACAACGAGTTGACCGAGCCTCAATTCTGGTGGCCACTGTCCTAGGGTCAGATAAGGACCGGATAAAAACCCATCGGTCGAACGGTAACGGACGAATCTCGGGAGAGTCTCCGTCGGAGACTCGGGGGAATTCATCCCAAAATCGACGGTTGGCCAAGAAAGTATGAGGAAATGAATGAAGGGAGCAAGAAACACAGATAGTTATGTAATAGTCAGATTTAGTTGTTGATCGTAGTGGGTAGTGTATTGGGAGGCATGACTAGTCAAGCGAGGGTCATCAGCCAGAGCCTCTGGCCCGGAGACTCTGGCCCGGAGACTCTGGCCCAGAGAGCACCGCATTGACTCTCTGTGGCACCTAAGAGTATCCCATAACCTTGCTGCTACTTATGCGGAGCGGAGCATCCAGCGTTGCAAACTTCGGAGAGTTTTTCGACAGAACTTCGAGGTTGAGACTTTCGGATCTCACAAGTTCTGTAGCAACGTATCATGCTTTCGCCCCACTATCCACTACTCCCGACTAACTGACTGACTAACCAAATGAGCGAATGGTTTTTGTTGTGGTTAGGGGGTGTTGGATCGATTAACATCCAGTTACCATCTAGTTCATGGGAGCTCTCTTGAACCCACTCACAGGCATCCGGTTTAAGTTGGTTTGGGTCCCAAACTTTGGGAGGCATAGGTAGTCAAGCGAAGGTCATCAGCCAGAGGCTCTGGCCCCGAGAGCATCGAATTGACTCGAAGTTGGTGATAGTGTACTTGTGCACACTACGGAACCTCATCCGAAGGCCTCCACACCGTGGATCCCAACAAGGAGAGTCATTGTGGAGTTAGGAAGCAACCGTGCTTCGCTAGGTGATGATGTATGGCACTCCACTGATAAGCTCAAGAAGCTAGATGATGAAGTGCTACATCGGTATGTATTCAATGGTACTCTATCTCTCATAACAGTATAATACTTCTGATATCTGCACTTCTATACCAAATTACTAAGTATCTGGGGACGTGTTCGCACACGTATGCACGGATCTCTTTCGCCCATTATTCGCTGCATGAAACGGATCGCAACCATCAGGCTGAAATGTATAAGATAGGAAGCCTAATCACCCATTTTGGCTATCTCAAAATAATTGTTGTTAAGGTGTTGTTAAGTCAACCAGTGCGGGTGTTACTACTAACAGGCGTCTTCCTGGTTCAACCGGGGAGACGCGGGTGGCCAACAACCTTACTTTCATTGAAAGTAAGGTTGTTGGCAAACAACCGGAACAAACAACCGGGCCGGTTGTTGGTTCTAGTCTCTCGTCTTCACTCGAGACTAGTTGATAGGCCTTGTGACAAAGCTCTTGTCATCAGAGTATTTTATAAGGATTAAAAACCTATTTTTGAGTGCGCAGAACTAATTAGAAATTTCTGTGTGTTCCGTGTGGAATGAAAAAACTTGGGTATATTTCGCTACTCTAATAGTGTGATGTGCCACTCTTATAACACAAGTATTGTCCCTTATCTATTTGTCCCCATTATTGCTTAGCTCACACAATTAGCTGTAGCAGGGTTCACTGTAATTCTCCGATCCCCACTCGTGGCTCCGCCGCGAGCAGGAAGGAAACCGCCTGCTCCGCCAGCAAGGTACGGAACCACCGATATGCTAAAGGCCAAGGACCTCGGTCCGAGGTAGCGTAATTAGCAATACTGCGTCCAAACTCTTGAAAAGGTATCACCCAAATATCATCTCCCACTATACTCAGAAAATTTTGAGATACCATGACGCAAGGTCGATGGTAGGGTGGAGTATTGTTGTGGGGAGTGCTTGGACCATGAAGCCTCCGGCAAATGGGCAGCTTGGAGGGCTTGTGATGCATCGAGGTTCAAGAAATCTGATCTGACCGATCATGAGAAGACCATCCAGAATGGCAAGCATAAGTTCAAGCAGCTCCCCGTACACGTAGCCTTCAAGCAGATCATCGCGAAAAATGCGGCTACTGAGGCTAGTCGCATGGCCGAAGAACTCCTCCTTGTTAATCCCTTGGCCGACCCAGCACTCACTTTTTTTGGCTATTGAAGAGGTCGCGATCCTCAAATCCGAAGCTTTCTTACAATGGGCTGAGAAACATGTGCTCAAGGTCACCAAGCACTGGCGTTCTGTTAATTATGGTTGGCAATTCATGAATTATTCATCCAAGCGGCGCATTCTATACAGTTGGCAGATATTAAGGTCTGGCTTAGTTGCCATAAATTTGACATAATAGTAGACGAATCAACCGATATCTCGGTCACCAAACAAATCATTCTCTACATGAAATCGAGAGGTCAGGCACGATATGTCGGTCTCCGAGATATGCACGGTGATGGATCAGGTGGAGCTATAAAGAATGCTGCTGTGGGCTTGCTAGAATCTTTGCAGTTGCCGAAGGAGGATCTTCTCTCGGTCACATCGGATGGGGCATCAGCTATGGTGGGAGCTAAGTCTGGTGCGGGTGTCTTCCTGGAAAACTGGTGCGGAGGCCCTTTGAAAAAAGAGCACTGTATAGCGCATAGGGTAAACCTCGCCACGGGCGACGTATTCGACGCCAAGACCTGTACAGATGGTGACGTCCTACGTGTAGCAGCAGACGTGGAAGCTTGCGTAAGGAACAGCTATCTCTTTTTCAACAGATCAACTTCAAATCGCGAGGAGCTGATTAATATTTCCAAACAGTACGAGCAATTGCATATGACGAGATCGTGGTGGCTCTCTCGATATTCGGCCATGATGTCTCTGTGGCTCGGAAGACACGCAGTCCTGGAATTTCTCACATCGAATTTTTCACGTCGGTTCTCCAATGAAGCTGTTGTTATTCTTCGAATGCTCGGTGAGCAGTCAAAAGGCTTCGAGGGAGTGTTGGATACCATGCGAATAGTTTAGTTACTCTCGATCAGGCTACAGAAAGCCAGTATGAACCTTTCGGAAGTATTTTTCCACTACCAACGTGCGGATGCTGCGCTAGGCGACTCGATAGACGACATGGAGTCTGATGCTGCCAAAAAATCGCCATGTTCATGCGCAAGCGCTTGCGTACACGCATCCCAGCCATGTCAGCCACCCAAGAGACACAGGTAGTACCTGTGCCTCTTGGGTGGATGACATGGCTTCACATGTCAGGTACACGACTTCAGGCTCTTGAATCCGGATTCTGAGGGACTGCAGCTGCTGTAGGCTCGTCGATAATAACAGTTTCTCTTATCTACCCCCCCTGATATTATTCCTGTTGGGTTCTGAAGTATCACGAATAGTTATTGTAAACGCGACAGGAAAAAAGTGTAGATAATCGGAAAAGTTTTCCGATTATCCGAGTTCCATTGTGATACTCTGCGCTTGCACGGTCTGCGCACGCGTGCAGCATTCATAATTCACGGAGTCCGCACGCGTGAGTAGACCGCACGAAATGTAGGTCTTTTCGAACAAGAAATATCTAATACTCCGGACTCCGGATTCTGGAACGCATTTTCACGTCTTCGAGAAACTGGCCTGGATCTGGGGAAAACTTCTCAATAAGTGTGGGGGATGCACCGCGCATTATATGGACGTGTCACACGTGCAATATCATGCAATGTCACACGTGTCCCGTGTCACGTCCGCGTCACACACGTTGTGGTAGGAGGATCTGCCCACTCCTGTTGGCCAGTCTGTTAGCTGTACTGTATCGATTGCTCGCTATATATAAATCGACTCCGTTCGGCCATTGTCAGCTACCTTTTCATTGTCGTCCGCCTGTGCGGCCCTGCCTGTGCGGAATAGACAGTATAAAGCGAGCGCGAGAGCCTTATCCGTAGCTAACGTGTGCATGCGTCAAACGATCGAGTGCATTTAGAGTCTTTCGAGATTCTTTTGAGGAATACTGTTGGCACCCCTGCCCAGGGGTGGGCAAATCCCGACCGGGATTCCGTCCCGACTGCCGGGACCGGCCAGGAACCGGGGTTCGGGCCGGGATAGCGAGAAACCCATCCCGGCTAGTAGACCGGAATCCGGGGACCCGGACCCCGTCATCCCGACCGGATAACCTGACCCCGGTTCTTATGGAGTGCAGGGCCTAGCCCCTAAGCCTAGCGACAGCCCTCTGGTGCTACTAGCAGCAACGGGGCCATATCAAGTCGGCGATTCCGACTTTCCGGCCGGAAAACCGGAAATCACGTCGGGACAGGAGGCTAATTCATGAAGCCGGGGTATTGGTCGGGCGGGACGGGGCGGTCAATTGTAAGCCACCCGGACTGCGGGTCGGCCGGGATCAGCCCAGAGGCAAATGCCCATCCCTGCCCCTGCCAACCTTGTCGACCGCAGCTAAGTATTAGCTCATAACCGTATCTACCCTTCGGATTGTGTTGCCAGAGTCACTAGCATCGACTACCTATAGTATCAATCGACGACCCGATCACGACTTCGAGTATATCCGTCCACAACGTGACGTGTGTGACGGAGACGGACGTTCGCGAAGCGCCCTTCGTATCGGTATTCAACTTGTGTTAACTAGTTACCCCTTATAATATCTATTCAGAAATGATGCTACTAATCTCCTTGCTGCCTATCCTGGTCACTGGAGACCTCTTGACGAAACCATTGCCGAGACAACATGGTTCGCGCTCGCTCAATGATGTGGTTTATCGCAAATACCAGAAAGGAGATGACATGTCCCTCATGGGACCAGACTTCTACTGTGAAGACTACCGATGTTGGGTCGCAGCGACCAGTGGAGATCGAGTGAGGCGATTCTCGGCTTCGCAATCGTACTCAATGGAAGAGTAGCTGTGTACTCTAATGAATTCACACGAGCCTCTTTCAAGCGAAGTCTGTATGACTGTTATGCACTTCCTTTGTTTTAATTGAACGAGGAATCTGTTCGGATTGACCTATTCAATGCTTTCGAACTGACACAGTGTCAGTTGTATCATACAACTCATCAGTGTCAGTGACACTGACGAGTTGTATCATTCAACAAACAAATTCAGTGTGCCGTCAGCGCTGGTAACAAACTAACTGGCTATCAATAGTGCGCTGCAGCACTGGGATGGCTATGTTTTTCTCAGAAAGTTGTTGGTGTGGTGGAGATGCTGATCCCTCGGAAAACACACCTGCTGATGTCAAGGCTGCAATCGATGCCAAAAGGTGAGTCGTCCTCCAT